TATTCGATTTGTGGTTTCAAGTCACATGTGATAGGTTTAAAGTCCAAATATCGATGTTAAGGTGCAAAAAATCGCTGCCGCCTTCAGCTTTTCAATACAATGAAAACGACCTGTTTCTCGTTCTGGTTTTAGGAGAGAGCGTAGTATGGATTCCTCTCAATATATGAACGTGGGAGAGCCACTGGATCATGACTAAGGTCAACAAAACTTCACAAAGGTGAAACACACGAGGAGAAGGTTGTGCTACTCGTATGCGGTCTGCAACAGGTGCAGCTCTCCTCAAAGACGAAATTTTTGTAGTGGAACAGTGACAGGATTTGACACAGGATTTTTTGCAAGGTGTCAAAATACCCTGAAAGCATGGAACGTGCTCCTAGCAAGAGTTGCCATATGTGCTATCCTTTCCCGGCGATTCTTGGTGCCCGGCAGAACCGAGCCTGCCAAAAATGAAATTGCTGGAGTACTGAACAATCCTCAGAACTTCTAAATCACTAAACCTCCTAAAACGGACTAAAAGAATAAAAGTGATCTATAGCATCTGCTATTGATCAATCCCTCTTTGGGATGCGGCACTCAATCTACTCCCATTTTTATTTCGTAGTGGCGCTTGAAAGCGATTTGACCTACACGTGATTGTGGGGCAGCCGATTCATTTCAGTGTTTTGACCTGCCTCCTAGACAAGTCGGTACCATTTAAACCGACCCCGGAAGGAAGGCTTGGTTGGCCCGGACAACGCACGATCCAGCATTTGATCCCGGATTGGTTGGATTTTACTGGGATCGAAAACGTTGTTGGTTGAGACTGCACAATTAACTTTTGGGTTTGAGATGGAAGAACTTACCTTACAGCCTGGAACCGCTTGCAGGAGCAAAATATGCAAGAATTCCATCAAATCGAAATGGACTCTGAAACGGTGAAATTCGAGTGGGATGTCCTTTTTTTGCGATTATTGATACTTCATCGAGTTTTCGAATTCTTGCTATTTTGTCCACTTGCACCTCGTAGGCTGGTTCTCTCCTCTCTTTATATTTGGTACCCACAGGTAGATCAAAAGAATTTCAATGATTAGATTGATCTTATAACTAGTCCGTTCATTTTGAATTTGGCTACTGGATGGAATCTTTTTTTTTCATTGCGAATTCCCATTCAAATTTACCGGATTGTTTTCGCTTGATTGATACTTGATCTCCGTATAACCAGCGATGCGGAAACGGTGAAGTTGAGGCTGCCGGCTCCCTACCCATCTTTCTTTTCGATGGTCCTTGACATATGCGTTTCCCAAACACTACATGAGCAGTACATGCCATCCATTCTAATGTGCTGGGTTGCATCTAGCGATACTTATGTGTTATGATTTCTGTGGATCACAAGGCGTACGAGAAGCTAAAATTTGATTATTTTGTGTGGTCAATTCATAACAATTGTTGCTGAAAAGCCCTATTTCAGGTGTGGTCACTCCAAGTGGTAGTGTAACTGCTCGACAGTTGTCAAGAGCGCATTGTATAGCATAATACTGACTGAGGTGCGACCGTTATGTTTTTTTTCAATATCGATTTCGTTTCTTTATTGCCGTCGTGCTTTGTTCCAGGTTCATCGGATACGCGCGGCTCACCCGACATCAGAAACCCACGTTCTCCGCGGTGGAAGGCTGTTAGGCGAACTATACCCATTGCGAGCATTTGGTGATGTCCGGTTCAAGTGGCCCTTAGATTTACAAAAGGTTCTGATTACAAACCCTTAATGAGATTATACCTCTGCTTTTTATAATTCATTTTTCAGGTTGTTTTGGAACCGTTAGGTAGTCCAGCTCCTCCCAATCTTCACACTCCTCCTTACCTCACGGTATCACCAGAGGTACTCTACCATAAACTAACGCCTAACGATAAGTTTTTGGTGTTAGCGTCGGACGGCTTGTGGGAATGGCTCGATCCGGACACTGTTGTTCGACTCGTATATGACCATACAGTCGGAACGATGACGTTGCTTCCATATCAACCGAAAAGTGGCTCGTCACTTAAGCAGGTAAAACTTAACGTTATGAATTGAATTGAATTCACTCTGTGCATTGAGAAACTTCCAAGGACCGGTAAAAAATTTTCTTTTAGCTTCGATTTGTGAAAACAGGCTAGATAGATAAATTCAGAATTGGAATCCTGCTAAGGAGTTATTTAAAGGAGCCGTAACCGCCATTGGAAAAGAGTGGTAGTACATTAAAGTGGTTCCAATTTGCAATGAAAACGTAATGGGCCAGCAGGATACGAATGAAATGTTATGGAACCCTGAGATGGTAAAGTGGGCATAATTTAGAGCATAAGAAACAAGTTGCGGGATGCACCACGCATTCGACTTTCTCGTTGTGAAATTTCAAACGTGATTTAGGCCCATTCAGTGAACAACCATGATCAGCCAAAATCGAATCAGCAATTTATACTATTTTTCATCCTCTTTTATTTTATTTCATTTTCAACTAGGCCATCCTGTTCCTGCTTAAACCAAGCGTATGGAAAACCTAGTGAGTCCAAAACTCAGGACCACTTACATGGTTAGCGGCGCCACATGCCATTACATTATCACCCTATCATAGGCTGGATACAATCGTGGCGGGAAAAATTCTGAAACTTTGTGATTATCCTTCCAGGGGAACCCTCAGTTAAAATTATTCTATTTAGAACTGTCATTGAGCAGAGGCTAAGCATGACTAAAGGCACGGCAAATGCTCCTCTTCATGCAGATTTCGTTAAAATTGTTGAAAACCCTCCATAAATTATTCCACTCCACCACTACACGCGACCTCTCCGAAAACCCCGAATACAATCTCCAACATTATTCCCTACCATATATGCAGTGTCCAGTTTGGATGTGTGTCACATTTGTCTGTCACGAAATTCGGTGCTACATATCTGAGGAACTACCAGTAGAGTCCGGTCAAGCTGGGATGAGTGGGGCACGAAGTAGGAAAATACTATCAGCTGGCGAAGCTGTGTCCACAGTGCACGGGGCACTCACCAATTAAGCGGGTGCCGACGACAAAAGTTTCCGAGTTGAACAATTGGCAGAACGACGAGGACAATGAGTGAAGGTAATTCGCTCAGTTGTTCCAGCACGAAATAGGATACTGCAGTGATAGACGGGGCATTCTCTGAGGGAGCGGCGCTCAGGAAAACTCACAACTTTTCTGGAGAAAGCCTATAGAGCAGAAGAGAATTGGTTCAAGAGAGTAATATCTAGGAGGTCCCTAGCATACATGAATTGGGAGGAAACCCATCCATATTGGGCGACAAATCCTTAAAATGACAGTGTCATTACAAATGTGCAATATCCTGCTCGCGGCATTCCAGACCCACCGGGAGGGGGAAGCTCGGTAGAGTTGGAGAAGTTACAGATAGTAGGAAGGTTTAATGCCGATGGTGGGCATGGCGTACAACTTGGTGGGAGGAGTCTGCCACCGAACTAATAATTCTTTTCAAGGAATCCTGGAGAGGGTGTAAAAAGTAGATAGTCTGATAACGGAAGGGAGGCTAACTGCTATAGGAGGGGCGGAGTTTGCCGCGAACCCTTATAAGAACCGATGGCCCTGTTTATACCACTGAAGTGTGATGCACGCGAATGCGTGCGCAGCCGAACTGGTCAGAAGTATACGAAAACCAGGAATACGGCCTCTCATCCGAAAGTCTCAGATACGGCCCCTCGATGGTAAATTACAAACGGACGGTTGATCCTGTTGGATAAGCTTTCGAATATTCGAAGCAGTTCTGAGTGAAAGTCGAATGCGCAGATTTATTCAAAGCTATCGATGACTACGCACTAATATATCATTTTGTACAGCCTTTTAGTAGCATAATACTTGAATACTTTTAAGGTGCTCCTGGATCTTCAAGAGCGGAAGTTAGGCGAAAAAAGCCATAAGAAGCCCATAGACGAGAACTGTGCGACGCACATCATTAGACACGCACTGGGTGGTGTTAGTGGTGGAGAAAGCAAGCAGTACGAGAGGCTCATTGATATACTGCAGGTGGGTGTTCACAGGATGAAATGAAGATTGAGAAGTGAGCAAGGCTTTTTTAGGTTCCTCCTGGACGAGCACGGAATTATCGTGACGATATTTCTGTTATAGTGATCCACTTTAATGAGAAATATTTGGAAGGAAGCAGAATCGCCGGCTGTTGCAGCTGAGTCGATAGAAATGCAAGCTAAATAGTGTACAAAAACTAGATGCAGATTTGTTAAGCAACTAACACCACTTTTTTCTTGCTTTTCGTGTTTTGATTTTCTTGTATAGGATTTTTATTGAATGGCCAGAAGATTCGATTAGACCCCGTGCATGTATTGAGTATCACGAGTTGTTACCTTTGCCTTCTCGACTCTGCAGTGGTGTGAGAGTTTTAATATTATGATGTCAATTTTTTATAGACGGGCTTATCAAATGTGGCATAAATATAAAACTGTTTACCAATTGTTTGTAGGCGCCGGTTTTCGAATCAGGGTAAGGCATCGGTCTCCCCTCCTTGCTTTGAACGTTACTGCTCATAAGCTAGTTCGTAAAATAGCAACACATATGTTCAGCCATAAAATGAGAATACTATAACTTTTGAAAAACCACCTTCACTGACTAATGGGGACCGCCTTTTGAAAAGGTGGGAGATCTCTATGCTGCCTTTATTCAAAAGCCGTTCCAAATCTGATTGTATATTTTTTGTTGCTGTTTGTTCAGTATTAGCTTTTCCATTTACTGAAGTGCAGTATTTTTCACTTCCGCTATAAGAATCACGCTCTTTACGGAGCAGTTAGGTTATGTCATGCGTATCGAGGAACAGACAGCTTATTTAGAAAAGGAAGTGAAAAATACGAAAAACGAACTGTAAACATGTAGGAGTCGGTATGAACATTTAGGGAAGAGCACTACATACTTATGCTTACACTTGTTGCTCCAGTATTGTTTATCGTATGATACAACTGAAAATGAACCTAGATTGGAAAAGTCTACAACAGAAATCAATTTAGTATTAAATATGAATTGAAGTATTCGAAAAGGACATTATGGGAGAAAAACTACACATCATCGACAGATAGATATGATACAATGAACATTTGATAAAAACGGCAAGGCGTAGGTGTACACGATGATGGTGGCGCACGATCGCTCTGCCACCGCACGCTCACTATTTGCCTGTTTCACTCGCAATTTTATTCCCAACCCCACTACATGAGAATCGCCTCAACGCATGTATTGTTGCTGTGGTTGTTGTGGAGGTTGCTGCTGCGAATACATCATCGACTGATCGTAACCCTGAGGCGGATAGCCAGCCGGCATAACTTGCGGTCCACCAACCTGGGCTCCGGGATGCATACCCTGTGGTGGATACCCGTAACCTTGTGGAGGTCCCATTGGCATCCCCATTTGCGGCTGAGAAGTTGGCACAGGAGCTGCTTGAGGTTGCATAGGCATCATAGGCGGAGCCATCATTGTAGGCGGTGTTGGCTGATGTTGTTTCACCGGGTATGGAGCACTTACCGGTGTAGGTGCTCCAGACGGTGGACCACCTTCGGATGAGGGCGTCGGCTGTGCACAGTTTTCATCATTTGGAGCATTCTCGTCCTGAATAATGATACAGTGACAAACAAACATCACAAATGCATCGGCTTATTGTTAAATACAGAGGCACACATCCCTAAATACAGGGCAATTCCCAACAAGGAGGTCACATTTGCAATTGCTGAATAATTCAAAAGAGTATTTTTCAGTAGAGTTTGGTGCGCACCCTTGCAACAAGAGCGCCACCGGTTTTTTTCGGCATGACCTTGATCTTCGAAACAGGATATTCAGAAAAAGATACTTCTGAACCCACTCAACTTCTCTGTTTGAGATACGACAAGAAAAGTGAAAAATAGAAATGCTCTTTGCTCCTGACTGAGAACCTAACAAAACCTCTAACAACGATCAGAACGACGAGTAATACGCCGCTACCTTTGAGATATCTCGTATGGAAGTTTTGTAGAAACGAATACAGACAGCTCTTTCAAAAACTGCTGTAAATACAATTAATTGTCTGTTACAAGAAATGCTTGATATAGTAGCGTCTGCTGCCAATGCGCTCTTTCACATTTGCAAAGCTCCATGGCTTTAGTGGGAAATATAATGTGAATGACGCTGAATGCTCCTATTTTACATAACGGAGAGGAACTTTATGTTACTTTACGTTAGCGTTACGTACTTTCGCGCTTCTTAGCTCTACCGTAAATCCACATATAAAATGTAATTTCTTCAATTCTTGAATTGGAAGTGGAAAAAACGAGGATGGAAGCGCAGTTCAGCGCTCATGTCCTTGGGGGGGGGGGGGAGTGGGCATCCGAGTGACTGAGCCAATTAGTATGCTTGGGATTAAGCTCTAGGGAGTGGAAAGGGTCCTGGAGGTGCATGTTAACAATTTGTGTTCTCTCTGGCGTTTCTCCAACCTGCTAGGCTCACTCCCACCATGTTTTGTCACCTTACCCCCCCCCCAAGGGGCATGAGCGTCCGCAGTACAAATCACCTTTGTTTCATTGAAAACTATTACGATTAAGGCCTCCATTAAAACGTACTCCTTGCAAATTTGGAGTATGGTTTCCTTACAACCTGGAGCATGGTGGGCAAAAAGAGATAAACCGCATCCTGGGCGGAAAAGTGCAAAATACATACTGACAGAGATGTGTGGGATAAAAACTGACGGCAACAGCCGGAAGATTACAGCAGGTTTAAGAATAATAAGAAAGCGGAAAGTCCAACGACAATGGGGGATAATAACTAAAAATGATATTAAAAGCTCACCCTTAATTGTGGCAAAAGAGACTGATCCGCCGCCTGAGCAAGGTGTATGAGATTTCTGTGCAACAGCTGCTGATATTTAGCCGCTTCTTCGGTGCGTCCCTGAAAACCATTTGTGCTCACAGCGTTTCCGAAACCAAATGTCAGCAACGGGTTGCTTTTTTCTTAACTCACCTATGCCTTAATAATTTTTTCCCTTATAGACTTAATTAGCGAGGAATTCTCGTTCAAAAGTGCCTGAACTGTACTGCGATGGTCAGGCACACCCTGACGTACTTCAGGAGGTGCGAAAGCGAGTGACATGCCTATTTCGTTGAGAAGATCAAGTGAAAGGTATAAAGGGAAAACGACGAAGAATAACACAAATTAATATATTCTGCGAGGCTTTCACCTGTCTTGGAGACGAATCCAAATCAGCAATGAACCCTAATCTTTATTCTTCTAAAATTCACCACAGACATCACTTCTTATCACTTATTATACAATCTATTTAGTGCTGACACGAGTCTTCTTGTTCCATGCGAAGTTCGATGCATAATTTTTGGGCAGTATTTTGCGCTCATGCTCTTTCTGAAAAACAAACTTGGAAGAAAGAAATGGGAGTTGAAAATAGTTGCATAAACCAAAACTGCGTGGAATCATATTACCTCTACTTCATAAGTCCATCTATTCTTTACGCAGAAATCGATAGCATCCTCTTTACTAGCGAACTTCAAGTTCATGGAGATATTTGACAATGGATCACCTCTGAATTACAACTGATATGCATTACAATAAAATGCTCTGAAGCAGAGCAAACCGCAGCAAACACAAGGTGCGCTACTGGAAACTGTGCAGATAAAACCAACGATTGAGTCCTTGCGGACTTGGGCAATGATTACGATAAAAACCTCGTTTCCAAGAGACAAGAGTGTGACCCTTCAGGAAGGATGGAGTAGTTCCAAAAAGGGTTAGTCTGAGTGCAAGCAAAACCCAAAATGATGATAGAAAAGCGAAACTTATCCTATTCAGGAATGAATTTTCCTAATGTTTTCGTTTCTTCACTCTAGCTTTCACTAGCTTTTCGCATGATGAGAAGCCCGAGACTTTTCTTCCAAAATCAAGAATAGAAAGCGAAATGAAAGGCAAAAATGCTCACGAGCTGGTCCACCCCATCAGCGGATTTTCCCAACGCTGGCGATTGTCAAGCTCAATTCTCGCATGCTAAATTAAATATTCCATTAATTAGCTATCGCTGTACTTCGGCTCCCCCACTTTCTTCACGATTTGGGGCGCGGCCGCGGCGAGCGCGGACGAGTCGATAGTGCCCGCGAACTGTGGTGGTGATGCGTTATTCAAATTTACCCACACAGTTCGCGGGCACTATCGACTCGGCCGGGTTTGCCGCGGCCGCGCCCCAAATCGTGAAGAAAGTGGGGGAGCCAATTTATCAGCAATTCATAGTGACTTAATGGATAGGTAGTGACCGTCACTTCCTGAATCTGCCATTGAACATACTGATCATTGTTTGTGTGCTGATATTTGAATCAGAACTCCACTGATTCAGTCAATCATTATCGGCAAATAATTATAGACCAGCCGATACTCCGTTGAACGTATATATGGAGCCAAAATTTACGATGACAAAGGGTTTTTTCATGATTTCTCTTTTTGGAGAGCACTGCAACCGTCTACCAATTATGCACAACAATTATAGTTACGGATTTATATCCACAATAGCAAAATTCAGATACCTTACTCTAATCGAATTTAGAAAATTTTAGATTTTTCGAAATTAATGAAGGCAGGTGAAAGATCACTTGATCCGTTTATTTGATTTAAATAATGTATAACCCAACAGAACAGTCAAGTAAACAGTCACTAACATTAAGCAAGTCTAGCACATTGCCCAGAACTCTCTAAAGTATTGGATACATAAACTGGATTTGAATGCGGGGTCAACTAATGAACTCACTCTCTAGTGGGGTCTCTCTCTGTAGTCCCGTCTTTTCGTGGCTCTTTCACTGAGATACGAATCTGTAGGTCCTCCCCTAGTGGTTCTGTAATGTTTGGCTCAGGAGTCTGGCCTGGCTGGTCTTTTAAAAGCACCCCATGCTGTCGAAACCACTCCTGCATGTGAGAGGCCTCGATGCTTTGAGTCGCTGCTCTGCTGACAGACAAAGCCAGGTCGTGTGGCAGCCATGTCTACGGATACATAACATCTTCTAGAATCTAAGTCTATACTACGTATTCCTTAGTTCTCAAAGTCTAAGAAGAGCGCTCGCTGTGAAGTGGGTGGGAGTAGAATGTGATGACTGAAGTGGGTGGGAGTAGAATGTGATTGACTAAGTCTGAAAAGAAGGTTGACACAGGTTTCTAAGGTCATCTGGAATGACAAAAACATATACTGATGCATGACAGCAAGGATACTAGTAATGTACGGCACCACGAGAGGGAACGTTTCGGTCGACCAAAGAAACAGCTGCCAAATTGTGAAACTTGGCGGAGGCTTGATAAGGTTGCCTTGGAAAAAAGTGGGACCACGCTACACGACTGAGGTAGCGATGAAGGCAGACGTTTGCTGTCATGTTTTGGAAGGTGTCATGTATCCTTAGGCGTGGCTGCCGCCCGACCTGACTTTGCCTGTCGGCAGAGCAGCGACTCAAAGCATCGGGCCTCTCACATGCAGGAGTGGTTTCGACAGCATGGGGTGCTTTTAAAAGACCAGCCAGGCCAGACTCTTGAGCCAAACATTACAGAACCACTAGGGGAGGACCTACAAATTCGTATGTCAATGAAAGAGCCACGAAAAGACGGGACTACAGAGAGAGACCCCACAGAGTGAGTTCATTAATTGACCCCGCATTCAAATCCAGTTTATGTATCCAATACTTTAGAGAGTTCTGGGCAATGTGCTAGACTTGCTTAATGTTAGTGACTGTTTACTTGACTGTTCTGTTGGGTTATACATTATTTAAATCAAATAAACGGATCAAGTGATCTTTCACCTGCCTTCATTAATTTCGAAAAATCTAAAATTTTCTAAACCCAAATTTGAGCTGAAGGTTGAAATTTTCTGTGTGGATCATAAAACACGTAGTTAATAATTGTTGCAAATTTGGAGACGTTCCAGTGACTTTCAAAAGAGAAATCATGAAAAAACCGTTTGTTCAATTCTGCCACTACTGTATGTGCAATATCCTTCGGAGAGGGATATATGATTACATGAAGATAATGTCGGTGAGCCAAGACAGTATCAATAAGTCGAAGACACTGCGTACCTTAAGGATGCGACCGACACGCAATTCGTAAAAAGGTGGGCGTGCGGAGCGCAGCGCGACGAGAGCCACACGATGAAGATCTCACGATTCAATGCGGAATAACAGACAACAGGGTTCTTTTTCTCATGCTCCAGGTCATTTTCACGGGTTTTCCTCATACCTGCGCCAACGTCCACCTTTACTTTAATCTCTAAGAACTGCTTTTACATGAAAGTGGTTCGCTGTAATAGAAAACGAATTTCCGCTTTTTGCAGCACGAAACATATCTCGCTGAAGAACAGCAGGTCTAAACAGACTAAAGTGGACCGGAGGTTCTCGCAGCTGAAAAAAGTTTTCGCGCTCGAGAACCCGTAAAAGTCGCTTTTCGGTAGCAGAGCCACGACCTGTTCACTGTGATCGTCGCTTACGAAGAGTCTGATACGGACACTTTAAGGTAACAGGAATATTAACTGTATGAGAGGGCGGACCTTGACGGAGCTTCGAACAATCTCGGAACACTTGCTCACCAACTCTGAACTATGAAGTTAGAATAATTGCATTGATGGCTGTTTCTCCAACTGGCGCCGCCATCCTATTTTCTCCTCCAGAATACGTTTCCGCGCGTGCAATCGATTCGAACTTGCCATGAGACTAGTGTTGCGTAACTAGGCTCCCAACATATGATTGCATGTTGTAGCTACCTTCCCTTTTAAGCACTCTCTTCTTACGAACGGTCGCTTTGTCCCAGTTGTATAACGCGAGTGTATGACTGGTCCTGTGATGCTAGCTCCTTTTCTATTCATATACTTTATACAGGACCATCGGCCGACGCCTTATCCTGGAGAGTATATGGCTCATTTTAAGCGCGTGGGAAGGTTGCCGTCTAGAGCGTTTCAACGCGTCAAGATATTCAATAAGTTATTATCTATCTTGTTAGTCGTTAGAAGAATGACGATGCGCCTCTTAGAAGGGCAGTGAGGAGGACTCAAAAGCAAAGTATCAGGTTAATTTATGATGGTGTTTGATTCACTCAAATTGCGCAAAGCTCAGGAGTAATGTACGCAGTGAAGAATTGATAGGCACAAAATCCTGTAATCATGAATACGAGCATTTGCTCTGATGTACTGTTAGCAAGATATAGGGCGAAAGTACAGTTGATGGAAGTGAGAGGGAGACTGAGGGTTGGTATAAGATATTCCGAAAAGAGGATAGGTACATAGCAGGATTCAACTCGGTGCTACGCAAAACCTCCATCTTATCGGATGGAGGGTTCCCCACCCATGATATGTGTGTATTTGAGTCTGTCTAGATTGTCATTGGTACCGCCTAGGTCCTAGGTGACGGATTTCGATCAAAATGTGCGTTACCTTTTGACAGCGTACCCAGCACTTCTAGGCCATGTATATGCGCTTCCTTATGTGTCTGACCCGACTTTGCTTTGATGCAAATTCATCAGAAGCAGTCTGTGCCAACACCCTCCCCTCCCTGAATGAGACCTCAATCGATTTGTTGTACTTGACTTGTAACCTTAGGCAACCTTATCAATTACAAGTAGGAAACTGGAACAAAATAGGAAAAGCGACTCGCAGCACGTCGAAAACGCGCCTATAGTCAACTCCCCATACAAAAAAAACATAGCTATGCCAACGGAACCACTATATACAGTGCGTACCAAAAGTATTGGACACACTCAAGAATTTTTCATTTTCCCTTAAACTGTTAACTTCTGCACCACCATTCAATTGTGACCGCCACCATTCAATTTCTTGCGTGCGAAAACCGGAGAATTTCTCACTTCTCATCAATTTACATGCAGCATTAATTGTTTTGATTGAGGGATAAGCTTTGTATTACTGTACCCCTGTATCAAAATCAAAAGTATTGAGACATTTAAAAACACGCAATATTCAGAATCTAGAACGGTTTCCAGGTACTCAAAGGCTTACCTAGTAAGTGAGAATTCTGTCTGAGTAAGCTCATGACCAGCGTCTCATACCTCTTGTTATTCTGCCCAAACAGACACATTTTACCACCGCGATTAGGTCACTTGGGATGAAATTCTTTCCGCTACAACCGATTCCTCTACGTTTTCGATAAGGATGAAGTCTGAGGAATACGCTAGCCGACTTGCCAATCAAAGCCGTTGCGTTTAGCATTTTTCCAAATGGAATGGTGTCAGGGACCTCCCCTGCAAAACAAGTGATTTGCGACATGACTTTTCGAAAAAGGTTGTAGCCGGGACTCAAGCACCTCATTATAATCCTAGTTGTCTACCTGACATGTTGGCAAGCCAAACTCCAATGTTCCCCTCCTTTTGGAACCACCCCAGACCTTTGATGAACATCTTCCGAATTGTCTCTTCGAGCACATCTGCGGGTCACGACCAAAGGTCTCTCCAAAAACCAACAAGACCCACCCGAATAGCAAAAGATGAGCTCCTTTCTGCCAGTCGAGGTGGTCTAAGAAGGAAATTTCCACAGAAAGTCTTTTATTCTAATCTTACCATTTCCACGAAAGCGTCTGTCCGGTTCGACGTCTCATGTTGTGGTTCAGTTTTTGAGTAAGAATTCCAACCTTCCAACTTGTGCTAGGCCTCCATACACGAAGCTTTCTTCTATTTTCTATTGTACCATGCGCTCATCCGATCGAATGGAACGCTAATTGGTCATTTTTAAGACCGGGAAGGTCATTTGAACGCGAACGTGATAGCAGATAAAAAATTTTGACACATCACGAGCTATTCTTGTGTTGTTTTGAATAAGTAACGATCGAAGACAACCCTTAGTCATTTCGAGAGCTTAGCATCAGGATTTCTGGATTCTCTCTCCAAACCTACGAGGACGCATGACTGGTTGACGTGCTATTTCGCAATAGGAAGGTTCAGAAGCATGAGGATCCCATTTCTGTGCTTGGTCTTCTTCAGAAAAACGCTTGCCGTGAAGAGGAATGATGCCAGAATAAGTAACGAAAGGAGAAGTAAAAATAGGTTAGGAAATCGATGCAAAAACTTCATCTGCCTCAGGGTGTCCACATAATTTTGATACAAAGAAAAAAATTTCCATGAAAAATAGTTCGCTAAGTTAGAACGAAATCTTTTGCCGAAAATATCATTTAGGTTATCGACCACTAGGAGTTGAATGGTGAAGGTTTCATGACATAAAAAAGCCTTTAGCTGACCCCTGAGAATCGATTCCAGGGTGTCCACATACTTTTGGTACGCACTGTAGAGAATTGCTTCCAAACGAACCTTGGTATTCCCCCAACCGGACTGCGTAGCCTCTCGTGCAGCTCGGAAGATACGAACAGTACGCTCTTCTGTGTGTTCTGCCGGTCTGCCGCCAATTTCCGCTGCTTCGTCGCCTGTTACCATTACGGGAACCTAAAGGATCAAAATGCAAGGAAAGTCTATAAAAACAGTGCGTTACAATTACCTTCGGAACTGTCGGCTCTATTATATCGTCCACCTCCTTTCGCTTAGCGTCATGCAAACGAGGTACTGGTAGATCTTTGTCGGTCGCAAGGCTGCGTACCTGAATCTGCCTTACGACCCTCGTGATCCCCGAGCGGATCATCTGAAAAGGTTAAAATAATTAGGAATAGGTAGTAATTTAAGGAAGAATAGAGGTGGAATTAAAGCTGCAACGCCCACATATGGGTCTATTCCAGTTAGGGGGGGGCATCATGATGCAGTGACTCCCAAAAAGCTACGGTAACTCCGAGCCAGGGGGAGTGTAGCCAGTCTAGGGGGGTGGGGGGTGAGGGCAGTCACTTGACATGCGTGAAAAGCTGGAATGTTCGAGTTCACACTAGTTCGCCGAGAAACTGCATCATGATGCCCCCCTAACTGGAATAGACCCCCAATTGCTTCGAGTCCTCGTGAAAGACTAGTAAGCCCGATTTTAAAACCTAAAAAACACGCGAAATTTTAGGCAAGGCGGGGGCGCGAAGAGGGATGAACAAAAAACTTCAAGAGAAAAGCGACAAAGCTTCTTGAGCTTTAATATTTTTATGTTCCATAACATGGTTTACCGAAGCACTCTCTGTAAAAGTACATTAAATGGTTAGCATAATGATGTAGGTGACATGAAGTGAAATAACACGTGAGGTAGCGCTCTTGCGGACTCACAGGAAATATTGTGTCGGTTTGTGCGCTACAGTGCGAATTAGATGCGCGCGGCCTGCGTCACGACTGCATAAATTATTTTGTGATTGACGGTCTATTTGGTTTTCTTCCATCTTTGTTTCTCATAACAGTATGTTCCTGTTAGATATCCGGGCGCAGTATGGCTCCGGGGGAGGAACCCGTAACATTGCGTCAGATCCACGAAAACTTTCAGTTTTGGAAGTTGGAGGAGGAGAGGGTGAGCTGCGTAGGCAATTCCTTCGCTCCGGAATTTGTCCCTCTGCGTTAGGCTAGTCCTAGTGATTCTTACGACAGACTCGGCTCAGACTCTGCGATTGCATCGCGCGATGCAGTCGCTCTTGCAATGTGCACAAGCGACGGGCGATTGGCATCGCTCCAAAGTGCGAGCGACGGGAGATTTACCCCGCCGACGACCGATACACACGGCGCCGCTCGGGTAAATCTCCCGTCGCTCGCACTTTGGAGCGATGCCAATCGCCCGTCGCCTGTCTGGCTCGCTCCAAATCCCAAGGAGGGAGGTGAGAGCCTTAGGACTAAGCCTTGTAAGGGGGAGGGAATCCGAGGTGGGTGAGCCATTGTGGCAAAAGTTTGAATGTGTGAGATCGCAGTGGTGATGAGCCGCTGATAAGGTGAGAGAGCGCAGACGAAAGCGTCGAGTGAGGCAGCTTAAAGGGCCGAGTGCAAGTAGTCCGTCGACCCGGCGCTGTGGGGATTATTGCATACCGCGCCAGAATCGGCGCGATGCAATCGGCAGAGCTTTGACCCGACAGTCAACCAAGGTCCTAACGAAGTGTCAACCTGTTCGTACTTGGTGGTCCTTCGTATGGCTTGTGCTCGATACTTTAAGCTTTGGCCACTGCATGAATGACTCCTCTAACTCGTTGGTCAAATGCAGACACATTCGTATACTCGATATCGGTGAGTTGGGGTGGGCGTGTCACCGGAAGTGACGTGCACTTGATAGAAACTATGTGGATAAGCTGCTTCCAACATACATCGCTGGCTATCAGCAAAGCATGCTGGCAACAGCTTATCCACGCACTTCTATCAAGTGCACGTCACTTCCGGTGACACACCCACCCCAACTTTCGGATATCGACTGTATTTGGTATAGCGTCGAGAACACCATAGAATCACATTTTGAATCGAAATCTTAAAATAGAATCTTCCCCTTGATATACTCTCCCCCACAACTATAATATATACGGTAGGCGCCCTGATCTACCTTGATGGGCCATCGACGTCGCAAGAATGATCGCGTTTGCGAATCGAGGACTGGCGGAAGTCACAGACTGTAGCATTGTGGAGAAGGTATACGGCCAGAGTGACCGATACTTACCTACATACGTAGTGCTGTGCAGTCTTCACTTGGCGAATGACTATGGAAGCTCCCATACGAAACTGATCCTATAAAAAGTATCGCACTTGCCTCCCTTCCATCACTGTAGTTCCAAACTCGAAAATGGTTTCCCGTTTTGAAATCAGTGTCGGGAACTCATAAGCGTTGGAGACACTTTGTCCAGTAACCTTATAGGCAAGCTCCGGGATAACATCGGTTTGGAACAGGGTTTAGTTATGAATCTAGAGGTGGGAGGCAGGGTCAACCGTCACGTTGGACCGACATTGGACCGACGTTGGACCGACGTTGACCGCTCTCCGCGCCGGCATTCGCACTCGCCTTGCGCGAGCCGTCTGTGTCTCCGTGCGTACGTTCACTCTCGGCATTACTCTCACACGCTAGAGAGCCATGCGTTGGACTTTGTCCAACGGACGGTTGACCCTGGGTGGGAGGTGATCTGGAAAAAGAAAAAGCAAAGAAACCCCCCGATCATGGCCATGAATAGAAACGAAGGAGTGATTGCGGGTCGGACGAGCTTCTAGCGCCCTTTCGCGCACTTTCAAGCCGCAAGAAGGGGCGCGATATCAACACTTGCCCGCCTGTCTACTGCACCCGGGGGGTGGAAGGGGTGAGCGCGCCTAATCTGAATTGACTTTGATCTTGCCTTTTTATTGGGATGTGATCGACAGTAAATCAGGGTAGCTACCGTATCAACAAAAAGTCTGTTTTGATGTTAGTAATTCAAAATGTATGTGATTCTGTGGTTTTCTCAACGCTGATATTTCAAGGCACTTTACACAGCGCGGTAGTGCTTGAGCTTCTCCGGAGTATCGTCGAGTCGTCGAGGGGTGTCGGTACCAAGCCTTTTTGACTATCTAGAGAAGAATTACCTTATCCGTTTGACAGAGTACTACGTGAGTAACTGGAGTTGAACCCGAGTGGTCCATTCTCAAGGTGTATACACTGTCCCTAAGTAAAGGCGCATTTCAGACACTCCAACCTGCTCTCACTGGTAGGAGCCTAGTACTCCAACCGAGAAATATGGCAACAACGAAGGAGGAGGAGATGGAGTGCGATGAGGCTGTTCAAAGTGAAGTCGAAGAGAAGGTGAGCTTCGGTGATTTGCTAAGTTGTTGTCGATTTCTTGATCAGCTCTAAAAATAAGCTCTTACCTAGGACCCAGTACGAAGTGCACAATATTCTGTAAGAGTAATGCCTGCCAATAACGGAAACAAGTTTCCAGCTTTTGAAAGTTTCGTTGTTCATTCTGTCTTGTATCTATCCTTCCTTTGGTTAGGCATCATATAGTTTGCTGTTGTTTGTTGTGCCGATTATTAGTCTTATTCCTTTGATTGACGACCATTTAATAAACAGGGAGAAGTTCCAGTTGCAGAATATGAATGAGGATAGCTAACAAGACGTTATTTCAGCCACAGGCTTCTACGTTTGAAGGCAATGTCCATATGGGCGATGCCGGTTTGGAAGATGAAGACGATGAAGTGGAAGACGAAGAGGGAGAAGAATCAGAGGGCGATGAGGTGAGAGCCGTACTTCTTGCCGGAGAGCTGCGGTCTTCATGGCATTGATCAACTTGCTCTTTGAGTTGCGCCAAGCAGTCATTTTCCATTTACAATTAGACCTACTGCTGAACGCGTACTAAACACGGTTTACGAGCTACTTGAACTCGGCTCCAAAAAGCTTCGGTGTGCTACCGTCCGCCTTTTTCTCTTGCTCTCATGCACAGTGAGCTCGCTTATAACTTGGCCACGCGAAAGTGGCCTCATAATCCACCCACCCCTGAATTCCCTACGCTCCCCATGGCTTCGCTTACCTAGCGTTTGGTATCGTTAGGAGCTTAGGTGGGCGCCTTTCTATAACGCCATGCGCTGTGGCTTTTTTTGACAGAGAACATAGGAGCATGTGCGAGTGGCCGCGAAACTTACCCTACCTCGTTTCGAACCGAATGAAATTTGAATCATCGAGAAAAAAATGGAAAAAACGAAATTGCGAGAAAATGGAGCCATCTAGCTTTACTTCGAAGACTCGTAGTAAAACCGAAGGCTGCCTTATGCCCCGCAACTGTTCCATTTTGTTTCTGAATTTTCTAAGTTTCTTCGCGGCGCTGAGCAGGCCACACGGTCCGTGCCAGGCAGTGGCAATGTGACTTTGAATTCAACGTCAATGCAGCTTGAACTTCTCCATCTTTTGAAAGTATGTTTGTAGTTGGAGAGAAATTCAGAATTTCTCTATTTGCAGGTTGAGAGCATTGAGGACATTAAAATACAGAACGGTATTTTCAAATACCGTGTTCGATGGGTTGGCTGCAAACCTAGTGAAGACACGTGGGAACCTGAAGAGAGTTTCACCGGTAAGAAGTGTACGTATTTTCGATAGATTTTTGCAGATTTTTGTTTTCTCCACCGGATTCTGTTGTATTGTGTTAGCTAGATTTTGGCCCACGAATTAGAAGGCTGCAATTATTCATCATGTTTAGGTTCTGAAAGTAAGGCCTTGTTGGAGGAGTTCCGAGAAGCACATAAGGAAAAGGTTGAGCAGCTTCTCAAGGCCGACAGTAAGTTTCCAAATTTTTTTTTTTTTTTTTTTTTTTTTTTTTTTTTTTTTTTTTTTTTTTTTTTTTTTTTTTTTTTTTTTTTTTTTTCATTTTTCCCTTCTTTTCTGTTTTTCCATAATATTTTTTTTTCTGGGCATTCCGTTCCATTTCAATATAAAATGTCAATTTTTACTTACTACGTATGGCAATTTATTTAATTAGCTCTAGATTCTCATATTACAATATAATTCTCTCGCAATTAGTCCTTAAATAATTTATGCATGATGTATTTTATCATTTTTTTCTATGGTGGTGATTACTAAGATTGCAACGTAGATCCTTCTGTATTTTATAGAACTTGATGAAGGTCATTCAGAAGCGAGAAAAGCCAGGCGAACAAAGCGTGGTCCTCGATGGGAATATGTATCGGAAATAGTTACGAGAGAAGTGATTATTACGTCATTAGCTTCTAGATCTTACCATTGATAAGCCTATTTTCTATCTCAATCTAAGCGAATAGTTCCTCTAGGAAAGTAGCAGTTTGAAGCCACGAGAACTTCAGGCCGATGATGTTTTCTACGGAAAACCGGCAGCGGAATTGGCAGATGCGCCTAGTGAATTGAAGAAACTTTTTGATCCTACTCACAAGAATACAGCTACTGAATTAGTAAGTCATCTTTTTTTCCTAACAGAGAAAAGAAATCATTTGAACAGCTTGAAAGGGGTGATAAGGTAAGGTAGTGGACCAGTTAATAGAATCACTATGGTTTCATAGAATTGTTCTCAAAAGCGAAACTGTACTTCCTTATGAAGACAGTAGTGGAGTTCCCTGAAAAAGATATGCTGCATTTTTTCAATTTCCACACTGGGCTTATACTCTTCAAGCTTTGTGCAATAGTTATTATTTTTAGTTCCTTACCACGACAGATCCGTCGGTGAAGGTCACCAGAAGTCAGACAAAAGCGCTAATAGGTTCATCACGAGAGGCTTCAAGATCCAATACTCCAACGCTCTCGTCCAAATTGCTGACGCCCGATGTAGGACTTTCCTCTTCGTTTTCTTGTACACGTATCTAGAAAATTCTTTTGTTTTATACTTCATTCTTTTCGTGATGACCTCGTCTCTTTCCTCCAGGACACTTCACGTGGTTCAGCGAGCCCTACTCCTCAACCAGCACCAAAAGGACGTCAAAGGAAAGGAAAAGCGCCACCTCAAAGGGCCACAAAACGGAAAGCCGCTGAACGAAAGGTTATCTAAGTATTTAGTTTTCAATCTATAATAGTCCACAAGAAAACGCAGAGTGCTTTTTTCCTTTTGACTTTGGTGTCCTCGTTGTGTTTACGTTAGTTTTTAAATGTATATCAGTTTTTGGGCTTCTCACTCTCGTGGTGTCTGGGCCGCGAAAGTTCTGAATCTTGAACAACAACAACAAAGTGCTTCACTAGATAGTGCGACATTCCGAAGTTTTATTGAAAGTTCCCTTAAAATCCTAAGGTCCATCTGGTTTTCAAATCATCCGGCAGTTTCCAGTACCTAGCCACGTTGGTCGTGCTTTTTGGGCTTTTGGTTTTGTTCGACTTCGTAATGAAAGTTTTGAAGTTCTTTACTGAAGAGCTTGGAGATATTGTGTCAGTATTTATTTATTTATTTATTTATTTGGATACACTCAAAGGTGTGCACAGTAAAGAAAGGAACATCACATAACAACAATAGAACAATAGGAGAGCTACACTGGGGAACACCATTAGTACTAGAAGAGCCGACAGCTGGTGTATGAGTAAGTCGTGACCTCCTAATGAGGTGGCGGAAGTGTAATCCAGCAGATCGATTTTATGGACAGGGACCGAAGATAGGACATGATTTTGCCCGAAAGGAATCAACAAAAAGCATCCATAATAGTAGGCCATTGTCTTAACAGAGTTAACTGCCAAATAAGATAACCAAGCCTGAGGCCGCAGCATGTAGGGCGGATGCACGCCGCACCTCATTAACCTAAACACAGACCCTACCGCTGGCCCAGTGGTGCTTACGTGGTAGTTGACTGTGTTGATAAGTATTCTACGATGAAAAAAAGGATGCGATTTCATCATACTTAATCATGCGTATATGAGACGGCCTACAGTCGCACGCCATAGGAAGCAGAGGCCTGAAGGCCATTTGGCAACGTGAAAATCAGCCGAAATCCAGTCCAGCTAAAAAAAAGGGGCAGTTGAAGAAGAAAACACACACCTCATAGGAAGTCACAAGGATGTATATTTAGAAAATAAAGAGATAGTAGGCCTCAAACATGATTTACAATTGCTGAAGGTCCCAGTTGTACTGCAGCAGTAAACTAAAACTATTCAAAACTGAAAAAAGAAAAGCTATTGAAAACCGGCTTAGCATATTGCGAAGTTTTATTTTTTTTGTTTTTTTTTTTTATTTATTGTTTTTTTTATTATTATTTTTTTCTGTTATTTTTTTTATTTTTTTTATATAACCCTATATTCAGAAGGAATCTGAGACTGCAGTTGAAACCGTGGTTATCGCTTCATCTAGTGTGGCTGAAAATCAGGTAATTTACCTACCTCTGGTTGTGATTGGTAACAATAGACTTTCTGAGATCGCGTTATTTTTCTTCCGATTATTTAGTGCTGATGTCCTTTTTTTCTGAACGAGCTCTTGACCATTTTTCAGGCTTCTACACCGTCCTCATCTGACAAACCTCCGATTGTGCTGAAGCTTACTTTGAAGAGTATGTTCAGAATCCTACTATTCTATTTGATCCTTTTTCCGTTAAATAACTCTAAGCTTCAGCACCTTTTCATAAATGTCTTGACTGCGAGCATTGTTCTCACAAATAGTTGTTTAGAAGCCGACAAGCCTGCAAAGAAGGAAAAGCGCTCTTCATCTGAGAAGGCACCAAAAGAGAAGAAGAAAAGAGAGAAGAAATCTTCGTTGGATACTGTAATGTCTCCGCCGCCGTCACAAGGGAAGGATGCTGTTCAGCCTGAGAAGTCATCAAGTCAGGAAACTGAAATGGAGGTGGATCAGCCATCATCTCAGTCGGCGAGTAAAGCCGCACCTGTCTCAGAAGATAATGCACAGCCGGCAAGCCGAAACACGGTCACAGCAATCGATTGCAAAAACTCCGAGTCAACCACCAACACAACTCACCATAACTGGCGCCGGTTTCGAGGTTGACTCGGAGTTTTGCATCGATGCTGGTGACGTCTTCGGCTTGCCTTCTGTGGCATTATCTTCTGAGACAGGTGCGGCTTTACTCGCCGACTGAGATGATGGCTGATCCACCTCCATTTCAGTTTCCTGACTTGATGACTTCTCAGGCTGAACAGCATCCTTCCCTTGTGACGGCGGCGGAGACATTACAGTATCCAACGAAGATTTCTTCTCTCTTTTCTTCTTCTCTTTTGGTGCCTTCTCAGATGAAGAGCGCTTTTCCTTCTTTGCAGGCTTGTCGGCTTCTAAACAACTATTTGTGAGAACAATGCTCGCAGTCAAGACATTTATGAAAAGGTGCAGAAGCTTAGAGTTATTTAATGGAAAAAGGATCAAATAGAATAGTAGGATTCTGAACATACTCTTCAAAGTAAGCTTCAGCACAATCGGAGGTTTGTCAGATGAGGACGGTGTAGAAGCCTGAACATGGTCCCAGGCTCGTTCAGAAAAAAGGTCATCAAGCCCCTAAATAACGAAGAAAAATAACGCGATCTCAGAAAGTCTATTGTTACCAATCACAACCAGAGGTAGGTAAATTACCTGATTTTCAGCCACACTAGATGAAGCGATAACCACGGTTTCAACTGCAGTCTCAGATTCCTTCTGAATATAGGATGATATAACTTCGCATACTTCTAAGGCCGTTTTTCAAAGTTTTCTTTTTTCGAGTTGAATATTTAGTTTACTTTCGGTGCAGTAACTACTGGGTTCGCATTGTAAATGCATTTTGAGCCTACTATCTATCTCTTTATTTTCTAAATATTCATCCTTGTGACTTCCTATGAGGTGGTGTGTTTTTCTTCCTACTGGCCCCTTTTTTTTAGCTGGACTGGATTTCGGCTGATTTTCACGTTGCCAAATGGCCTTCAGGCCTCTGCTTCCTATGGCGTGCGACTGTAGGCCGTCTCATATACGCATGATTAAGTATGATGAAATCGCATCCTTTTTTTCATCGTAGAATACTTATCAACACAGTCAACTACCACGTAAGCACCACTGGGCCAGCGGTAGGGTCTGTGTTTAGGTTAATGAGGTGCGGCGTGCATCCGCCCTACATGCTGCGGCCTCAGGCTTGGTTATCTTATTTGGCAGTTAACTCTGTTAAGACAATGGCCTACTATTATGGATGCTTTTTGTTGATTCCTTTCGGGCAAAATCATGTCCTATCTTCGGTCCCTGTCCATAAAATCGATCTGCTGGATTACACTTCCGCCTCATTAGGAGGTCACGACTTACTCATACACCAGCTGTCGGCTCTTCTAGTACTAATGGTGTTCCCCAGTGTAGCTCTCCTATTGTTCTATTGTTGTTATGTGATGTTCCTTTCTTTACTGTGCACACCTTTGAGTGTATCCAAATAAATAAATAAATAAATAAATACTGACACAATATCTCCAAGCTCTTCAGTAAAGAACTTCAAAACTTTCATTACGAAGTCGAACAAAACCAAAAGCCCAAAAAGCACGACCAACGTGGCTAGGTACTGAAAACTGCCGGATGATTTGAAAACCAGATGGACCTTAGGATTTTAAGGGAACTTTCAATAAAACTTCGGAATGTCGCACTATCTAGTGAAGGTACTTTGTCGTATGTTGTCAAGATTCAGAACTTTCGTGTGCCGCTGACACCACGAAGATGTGATAAGGCCGCAAAAACTGATATACATTTAAAAACTAAACGTAAACACAACGAGGACACCAAAGTCAAAAGGAAAAAAGCACTCTGCGTTTTCTTGTGGACTATTATAGATTGAAAACTAAATACTTAGATAACCTTTCGTTCAGCGGCTTTCCGTTTTGTGGCCCTTTGAGGTGGCGCTTTTCCTTTCCTTTGACGTCCTTTTGGTGCTGGTTGAGGAGTAGGGCTCGCTGAACCACGTGAAGTGTCCTGGAGGAAAGAGACGAGGTCATCACGAAAAGAATGAAGTAATAAAAAATAAAGAATTTCTAGATACGTGTACAAGAAAACGAAGAGGAAAGTCCTACATCGGGCGTCAGCAATTTGGACGAGAGCGTTGGAGTATTGGATCTTGAAGCCTCTCGTGATGAACCTATTAGCGCTTTTGTCTGACTTCTGGTGACCTTCACCGACGGATCTGTCGTGGTAAGGAACTAAAAATAATAACTATTGCACAAAGCTTGAAGAGTATAAGCCCAGTGTGGAAATTGAAAAAATGCAGCATATCTTTTTCAGGGAACTCCACTACTGTCTTCATAAGGAAGTACAGTTTTGCTTTTGAGAACAATTCTATGAAACCATAATGGTTCTATTAACTGGTCCACTGCCTTACCTTAGCAGCCCTTTCAAGCTGTTCAAATGATTTCTTTGCTCTGTTAGGAAAAAAAAAGATGACTTACTAATTCAGTAGCTGTATTCTTGTGAGTAGGATCAAAAAGTTTCTTCAATTCACTAGGCGCATCTGCCAATTCCGCTGCCGGTTTTCCGTAGAAAACATCATCGGCCTGAAGTTCTCGTGGCTTCAAACTGCTACTTATAGAGACTATTCGTTTAGCTGAGATGAACTAGGCCTTATTCAATGGTAAGATCTAGAAACTAATGACGTAATAATCACTTCTCTCGTAACTATTTCCGATACATATTCCCATCGAGGACCACGCTTTGTTCGCCTGGCTTTTCTCGCTTCTGAATGACCTTCATCAAGTTCTATAAAATACAGAAGGATCTACGTTGCAATCTTAGTAATCACCACCATAGAAAAAAAATGGATAAAATACATCATGCATAAATTTTTAAGGACTAATTGTGAGAGAATTATATTGTAATATGAGAATCTAGAGCTAAATTAAATAAATTGGCCATACGTAGTAAGTAAAAATTGACATTTTATATTGAAATGGAACGGAATGCCCAGAAAAAAAAATATTATGGGAAAAACAGAAAAGAAGGGAAAAATGAAAGCCAAATGAAATATCTTGGAAAAATTTGGAAACTTACTGTCGGCCTTGAGGAGCTGCTCAACCTTTTCCTTATGTGCTTCTCGGAACTCCTCCAACAAGGCCTTACTTTCAGAACCTAAACATGATGAATAATTGCAGCCTTCTAATTCATGGGCCAAAATCTAGCTAACACAATTCAACAGAATCCGGTGGAGAAAACAAAAATCTGCAAAAATCTATCGAAAATACGTACACTTCTTACCGGTGAAACTCTCTTCAGGTTCCCACGTGTCTTCACTAGGTTTGCAGCCAACCCATCGACACGGTATTTGAAAATACCGTTCTGTATTTTAATGTCCTCAATGCTCTCAACCTGCAAATAGAGAAATTCTGAATTTCTCTCCAACTACAAACATACTTTCAAAAGATGGAGAAGTCAAGTTTGATGGTGAGTGAATTCAAAGTCACGAATTACGATCTGCCTGGCAGCGACCCGTGCCTTTTGCTCCCGCGCCGCGAAGAAACCTAAAAATTCAGAAAGCAAAATGGAACAGTTTGCGGGGCATAAGGCAGCCTTCGGTTTTACTACGAGTCTTCGAAGTAAAGCTGGATGGCTCCATTTTCTCGCAATTTCGTTTTTTCCATTTTTTTCTCGATGATTCAAATTTCATTCGGTTCCGAAACGAGGTAGGGTAAGTTTCGCGGCCACTCGCACATGCTCCTATGTTCTCTGTCAAAAAGCCACAGCGCTGCGTTATAGATAGGCGCCCACCTAAGCTCCTAACGATACCAAACGCTAGGTAAGCGAGCCATGGGGAGCGTAGGGAATTCAGGGGTGTGTGTGAGCCACTTTCCGCGTGGCACGTTTAAGCGAGTCACTGTGGCCATGAAGCGCAAGAGAAAAAGTCGACGGTAGCACACCGAAGCTTTTTGGAGCCGAGTTCAAGTAGCTCGTAAACCGTGTTTAGTACGCGTTCAGCAGTAGGTCTAATTGTAAATGGAAATGACTGCTTGGCGCAACCCAAAGAGCAAGTTGATCAATGCCATGAAGACCGCAGCTCTCCGGCAAGAAGTACGGCTCTCACCTCATCGCCCTCTGATTCTTCTCCCTCTTCGTCTTCCACTTCATCGTCTTCATCTTCCAAACCGGCATCGCCCATATGGACATTGCCTTCAAACGTAGAAGCCTGTGGCTGAAATAACGTCTTGTTAGCTATATCCTCATCATATTCTGCAACTGGACTTCTCCCTGTTTATTAAATGGTTGTCAATCAAAGGAATAATAAGACTAATAATCGGCACAACAAACAACAGCAAACTATATGATGCCTAACCAAAGGAAGGATAGATACAAGACAGAATGAATAACGAAACTTTCAAAGCTGGAAACTTGTTTCCGTTATTGGCAGGCATTACTCTTACAAATATTGTGCACTTCGTACTGGGTCCTAGGTAAGAGCTTATTTTTAGAGCTGATCAAGAAATCGACAACAACTTAGCAAATCACCGAAGCTCACCTTCTCTTCGACTTCACTTTGAACAGTCTCATCGCACTCCATCTCCTCCTCCTTCGTTGTTGCCATATTTCTCGGTTGGAGTACTAGGCTCCTACCAGTGAGAGCAGGTTGGAGTGTCTGATATGCGCCTTTACTTAGGGACAGTGTATACACCTGAGAATGGGACCACTCGAGTTCAACTCCAGTTACTCACGTAGTACTCTGTCAAAGGATAAGGTAATTCCCCCCCCCCCCCCCCCCCCCGCCCCCCCCCCCCTCTTCTCTAGATAGTCAAAAGGCTTGGTACCGACACCCCTCGACGACTCGACGATACTCCGGAGAAGCTCAAGCACTACCGCGCTGTGTAAAGTGCCTTGAAATATCAGCGTTGAGAAAACCACAGAATCACATACATTTTGAATTACTAACATCAAAACAGACTTTTTGTTGATACGGTAGCTACCCTGATTTACTGTCGATCACATCCCAATAGGTAAGATCAAAGTCAATTCAGATTAGGCGCGCTCGCCTCTTCCATCCCGGGGGTGCAGTAGACAGGCGGACAAGTGTTGATGTCGCGCCCCTTTTGCGGCTTGAAAGTGCGCGAAAAGGGCGCTAGAAGCTCGTCCGACCTGCAATCCACTCCTTCGTTTCTATTCAGGGCATGATCGGGGGTTTTCTTTGCTTTTTCTTTTTCCAGATCACCTCCCACCAGGGTCAACCGTCCGTTGGACAAAGTCCAACGCATGGCTCTCTAGCGTGTGAGAGTAATGCCGAGAGTGAACGTACGCACGGAGACACAGACGGCTCGCGCAAGGCGAGTGCGAATGCCGGCGCGGAGAGCGGTCAACGTCGGTCCAACGTCGGTCCAACGTCGGTCCAATGTCGGTCCAACGTGACGGTTGACCCTGCCTCCCACCTCTAGATTCATAACTAAACCCTGTTCCAAACCGATGTTATCCCGGAGCTTGCCTATAAGGTTACTGGACAAAGTGTCCTCAACGCATGAGTTCCCGACACTGATTTCAAAACGGGAAACCATTTTCGAGTTTGGAACTACAGTGATGGAAGGGAGGCAAGTGCGATACTTTTTATAGGATCAGTTTCGTATGGGAGCTTCCACAGTCATTCGCCAAGTGAAGACTGCACAGCACTACGTATGTAGGTAAGTATCGGTCACTCTGGCCGTATACCTTCTCCACAATGCTACAGTCTGTGACTTCCGCCAGTCCCTCGATTTCGGCAGAACGCGATCATTTTTGACGGTCGATGGCATCAACGGTAGATCAGGGCGCCCACGTATACATAGTTGTGGGGGGAGAGTATATCAAGGGGAAGTCTATTTTAAGATTTCGATTCAAAATGTGATTCTATGGTTATTCTCGACGCTGATACCAATACAGTCGATATCCGAAAGTTGGGGTGGGTGTGTCACCGGAAGTGACGTGCACTTGATAGAAGTGCGTGGATAAGCTGTTGCCAGCATGCTTTGCTGATAGCCAGCGATGTATGTTGGAAGCAGCTTATCCACATAGCCCGTATCAAATGCACGTCACTTCCGGTGAAACGCCCACCCCAACTCCGATATCGAGTATGCGAATGGTCTGCATTTGACCAACGAGTTAGAGGAGTCATTT